CGTTAAATGAATTCTCACTTGTTATTTCAATAAATACTATTTATATTACGTGGACATTTCTAATTTCACCATATTTATTTGTATTCCGTTTTCGTGAAATATGAATGTACAATACGAATAAATTCTAATTGAATTATTGTGTGTTTATATTTGTTAATTCTAAAGAAGGAAGCTATTTTTTTATTTAAAAGAAATATATTTATCAAATTTAAAAATATTAAAACTAAAAAAAAACTATATTATTATAATTTATAATCTTGGCCTTTCTTTAAATGTATTCAATGCTATTATTATCAACTATTATTACCTAATACTCAATAATTTGTTATTAGAATATATATATATATATATATATATATATATATATATATATATATATATATATATATATATATACATTATATGATTCTTTCTTTTGTTGGAATTATCATTCTCATGTGAATTCAAAAATATATTCCAATTCAATTCTTGTTAAGAATTATTTAGAATTTCACATAAAAATGATCAATTATCATCTAACTTCCCTATTTCACTTTCACTGCAACTTGATAATTTATTATAAAAGACATATTGCCCCTTGGCGGCATATCATTTATCGCCATTAAAACCCTGAACGTTGCCCTAGCGGGACATACCGACATTAACAGTAAAAGAAATCCATTCTGTCAAGGAGGACAATAAAGCCGGTCTGCCATAAAAAATTAGCCTGAACACTAAAAAACTGTGAAGTATTTGTAACATTTACGGGTAAGTACACATGTTTTATTTTCTTCTTAATCATTTGTATGGATTTTTTAAGAGAAAATTCAGTTTTGGGAAATGTTAATCACACATGTCGGTTTTTACCGCTAAGCAGCGAGATTATGCGGTGAAAGACACTTCAAGGGTCGCCATCTTGAGAAGTAATTTTAGGGTTAGTAAATTATGGAGCATAATGGTGACTTATGTACAGATAAATTTCCCAGAGATAGATTAACTTTGGAGGAAAATTGATGAGAAAATTGTAAAAAATGTATGATTCTCTGATCTCTACTCTTAAGAGTCTACGAGTAGAGAAAATCTAAAATGATAATTTCTTTTTCTCTGCTCTTATGAGTGCTTCACAGTGAAGCTGTTTCATATAAGAGTCGTCATAACTAGCTTCGAAGTTATTTATTTTAATGCGATATGTAATTCTAAACATGATAAAAGTAAAAGGCTTTGTAGACTTTTAGGAAATTATTTAGTAAATTTTTAGATTTGTAAAGAATTTTCAGCGAGATTTTCTCTGTTCAAGGAATTATCGGAAAGGTTCAAATTTATTATGTACCCTGATGTGATTTCGTTTGATAAACTGAACTTGTCTCAATTCGATTGGTTGGAAATTGAAGAACTTGAAATGCAACTGATTGATTTCCAGTCTAGTTCAACATGGATTCAAAAGTTTGTTGAAACAAGGAAAAAGTTGGAATTGATTGAAGCAGAAAGATTGACAAGCAATATAAGTAAAAATACCAGTAACGAAATTTTGGAAACATGGAATTTGATTCCAGACGCATTTAACTGTTTGAAGAAGTTGGCGTATGATATTTTAACCATATTTTCATCTACCTATGCCTGCGAATCATTATTTTCAGAGATCAATAGCATCAAAGACTCGCTTAGAAACCGTTTAACAGACGACTCTAATTCAGCATGCATTCTAAATACTAAAAGTAGCATCTTATAATCCTGATATAACTATTTGTCACCTAATCTATAACAGCAGAAATCACACTAATGTTATTTTAATTTAAATTACAAGTATAACTAAAACATTTACTGCTATACAGTGCAAAATGTATTTTTTCGTATTAAATAAAGAATTTTGATTTGTTCGTATTTAGTTTTATTAGTTCTTCAATAATCACAAGTCAAAATTATTTGATGGCACGCCTATAACTCAGTAAACGTTTTTTTAGAAAAAATGGCACGTTGACCCAAAAAGGTTCGCCACCCCTGGTATAGAATGTCGTTGTTCTATATAGCAAAAAAGATATCTTTCAAATGATTTAAGATTTCCACTTTTTTAAAAATCAAGCAAAAATGATTTTCAATTATGTTTATTAGATACACACTTATTTTGAGCATTAAATATTCTATTTAGAGTTACTCTATACAGTAATTATTCATACAAAAAAATTAAATTCGAACTATAATAATAATTTATTATTATTTTTAATTCTTTGTTATATTGGTAAAAATAATAAATCCTTTATTCTCACTCGTTGTTATAAACACTGGAACATTTTTAAAATAAAATTTATGTAGTCTCTCTCTCTTTCTAAATTTAGTTAACTGATTTTGAAAAAGGGGGTGTTTTATTTAAAATACAGTTTTCTAAACGTTATATTAAAATAGGTCTAAAAATAAATGTGTCTCCGAAGGTTAAATATTTTTTTTCTGTTATTTTCCTCGAAGAATTAGAAAGGCACACATGAAAAATATTTGATCCATTGAAATCAAATAAATAAAAGAAAACAGAAAAATACCTAAATGGTGGAAGCATTGTATTCAAAAACATATATATATATATATATATATATATATATATATATATATATATATATATATATATATATCTTGTTCAAATTTTCAATCGTTAATAAAATACTTTTTTATTCATCCACTCAAGTTCGTGAGAGGTCTTCACCTCTTTCTTGGGCACCTAGATAAGTAGGAGGTAGGGAAGAAACATTAACTATGATCCAATCAATCTATTTATTGATCACACAATATAACGACACAAATTCAATTAATAACAGTAAGAAAATGTATCGGTGCTAACCGTGAAACAACGACGAAATACTCGAAAGAGTAGGAGACTATCAAACTTGATCCTTACTTTAAAAAGGATCTAATCAATTATCCGATTTATAATCTAATATTCATTTAATCTCAGTGATCAACCGTCACTTTAAATCTTTCTCCTAATAAGTATTTATTCACAATAATTCAATAATGATAACTGTCAGTAACAATCTCACCTGATTTCTGATTTGCATCCACTCCTACTCTCTATTCTAGCTAGAAAACTTCGACTTTATATAGGGGACTGCGGTAGCCCAGTGATCAGGGTATCGGATCATGGCAAGCATGTCATGAGTTCGATCCCTGTACCACTAAAGACCCGCCGTGTAGGGCAGCGATGCACGTTAAATTTGTCGAGAGCTGAAATGTCCTCCCGTTGGTGTGGTGTGGTAGTTCGGAGGGGTGTCAGCTCAGGTTTTGTCCACGTCATTTGACCATGGTTCAAAATTACGTGGTCCGTCGCCAAAAGCACTCGTGTAGCTGAACAGTGCGACGTTAATATTCACTCACTCACTCACTCGACTATATATAGTAAACTTAATTTACCTATCATGATTTCTTCCTAAGGGTTGGTTGTGAATAATGCAAATTGATAGCCCAAAGATTTCCCAAGAGGATTAATGGAAGGATCGTGAATAGATTCATCACAAGTTCAAATACATTTTTTTAAAACTTGTAGTGGATTACACTTGATGTTAATACAGATTTTTCACAGGTTTTTTTTAATACAGTTGATTTTGAATGTGTCTGGTATTCCTTTCCTTCCTCCCACACATCTAGGCAGACAAGAAAGAGGGGGTAACCCATCACAGTGGCACCCAACGTGGGGCCCGAACGCACGACCCCGAGTTTAAGAGTCTCGTGCTCTACCGAATTAGCTAGCTGGGCATTGTGATGGGTTGCCCCCTCTCTCTTGCCCGCCTAGATGTGTGGGAGGAAGGGAAGGAATACCATACATATTCAAAATCAACTTATTTATTGATCAACCCAATTATCAACACCGATTCACTAAAATTCAAGAAGAGGATGTCTCAATATGAACAATACAAGTGGAACAATAACGAGATGCATGAATTATACGAAAACTATGAATATCGACCACTATAAGTTAGTATCAACTCAATTATCCTGATTAACTTTACGTTACTTTCAGGTTAGTGACCAATTGTCACTTTAAATCTTCGTCTATTTAATATTTGAAATACTCAATAATTTGTAGTGATACCTGGTCTGTAGAAATCTTACCTGACTCCTGGCTTTCTTTCTCTCCTTCTCGTGCTAGCTAGAAAACTCTGACTGTATATAGTAGATTTAATTTGAATATCACGGTTTTCTTCTTCGGAAGGGTTGGTTATGAATAAACGCAAATGATATCCCAAAGATTTCCTAAGAGGATTAGTTGAAGGTACGCGAATAGATTCGTCACAATTCTTTAATAATGAATTATCAGTTATAATTATTCCATTAATTCTTCATTAATCATCAGTTATTGTTATTATTATCATTTATCTTCATTCAATTTATCAGTTATAATTATTTTTCATTAACTATCTCAAACATATCTTTCGAATTTTTTAAAAATTGAATCACATAACAGATTTTGACACCTAAAAATTTTACACTGAAGTATGAATATTTCCTTACGCAATTTTCTTGATGCCAAGAACCTTAAAGTGGTTTAAAATTTTACGTTAAACATAATAATCATTTCGATAAGATATTACAAAACACTATCAAAGAAATCATCATGTGAGAATTTTTCATTAGCATCGCAAAAACCTGATGTAAAAGTAACAGGTATGTAAAATTAGGAAAATACTAACAGAAAGTCTTAATGTTAATTTGTGTTTTATTACAAATATATTTTTTTGTCGAAACTTAATGAAATTTGGCTATTTTTCAATTCCTACTCTATTAATTCATTCCCTCCCTATATATATATATATATATATATATATATATGTAATCTTGTTCAAAAATTTTCAGTTATTAATAAAATACTTTCTATTCCTCCAGTTCAAATACATTTTTTTATACTTGTAGTGGATGGCACTTGATGTTAATACATTTTTTCAATTATTAATTCATTGATTGAATTAAAAAATGAATAAATGGTAGCAAACAAAAATATTAGCCCAACAGCATATATAGAAAGGAAAATTATTCGTCGTGTCACTGAAGCGCAATGGGTAGCGTATTGGACTTCTAATCCAAAGGTCATGGTTTCGAATCCCATCTGAGATGGCTTAATTTCTGAGAATGGGATTTCTTTTTTTACTTACTATTTTATTAGAATAATTAAATTTAATTAATGAATAAATAGTAAAAAACAAAAAAAATAGCCACCACCATTTACAGAAAAGGAAATGGAAAATTGCTAGGAAAATCGTTCTCTATTTTACCACTTAATATTGGGAGATTCTGTCATATATATATACATATTTATAAAAATTTTAACCATTTAATAAAAAGTAACTAAAATGAAATTTTTTTGTTGCCCTAAGTAGAAATTGACTTATATTTTGTTTTATATTACTTGTTTTCCATAATGTGTTTCATTAATTTTACGTATTTATTTATTAACTGATTTTTTAAATATGATGTTACTTATTAATAGATATATTCATTTTCATACAGAAAAACCAATTTCCCATGATGCAATATTTTGTATAACTATTTAATTTAGATTTTCCTTCACAAATGATTGAAGAGATAAAATTAAAGAAAGATAAGTTAAACACAAAATAAAAAAACTCCAGAATTAAAGAAAATAGAATTTTAAATCTTTTTCTAGTTATAATGTTAATCGGATAATAAATGTTGCACTCTCTTTGAATAGCTATCGAAATTATTCAGTTATTTTAATCGTATATCGTACATCGAATAACATAAAATATACAAGAAAAGAACATATTAAAAAGCAAAGTGATTTTCTGCTTTTTAATATTTAAGGTGAGTAAATTCAGGTTTAATTAAAAAAATGTACACTTTTTGTTAAAGATTTGTTATAAAATGGTATCAAACTCTTCAATAAGTATTTCATTAATACATGGAAATTTTATTAAATTAATATGTGGAAACATGCACGTTTGGTACTTACGTGTTATACCGTCGACCAATTTTCTCAAATCAAAAGACGACGCTAAATGCCATGATACATATCGAATAGTGGAGTACTTACGTATTAGCGTCACCACAGCCAAATTTGCACCACATGAATTGCGTCATTTTCCACAAAATATGACAAATAAGTTTTTTTTTCAAATAAAACACTTAAGAATCTTCGTTGCTACCCCGCCGGCGCTCTGCTTCGTTAGAACGCTCGTGCTTTGGGGTACGTCATCCCTCCCCGCTTTTTGTGGGAGTATTCGGTATTTGTATTTAACTTCAGTCATGGTTTCTCTTTTTCTCCCATCCTTCTGGGAATAGGTGCCCGCGATAATCTAATTTTAGTTTAGCTTCGTTGCTTTGATAGGATGGCGTGATTCACGTAGCGCAAAGTTTCATGGGGGGGAGAGTCGCTGATACGTAAGTACCAATAGTGGAAACCGCTCCCGCGCATGTGTTCGAACACGTTAATGATAAGAATGACAATATATGGCGATATTTTTGAGCTGATGACGTCTTTTCGTTTGGTGAAATTGGTTGACGGTATAATGCACAAGTACCTAAATTATTTTACTAGCCAAAAAAATAAAGTAAAATAATAATATATTTAGTACCCCCGCATGTGTTCGGAAAACTGAATGTGGGAAAAATGATTGCTTTTTATTTATATCTTTTTTTTTCTCTTGTAGCTATGTCCCAAGCAGATGGTCCCCAACTGGCCAATTTCTGCACTGATAACTGGACTTGGAACGTAGAGGACAAATCTCATGATGTGAATCTCTGCGGTGAAAATTTCAAGGCGGTTCATTTCCATCCTAATTGGAGCAATGGTACAGCTGGAGTTCGGGGGACACGGGCTCTTAATGGAGGGCGACACTACTGGGAAATCGTTGTTAGCAATCGAATATTTGGGACTAGTATGATGTTTGGTAAGTACAAAAAAAGTGACAATTATTATTTAAAAAACATTACATGTGTGTTAGTTTTATTTAGTTTCCAGTTCTTTTATTTAAACAAGATATTTTCCTTTATGTAATGCAATCCCCGTTTCCTAATGAATAATGGGTGAAGTAAAATATTCGAAGCAAACATTTGCAGCATAGTTCAAAATTAAAAGGGAAAACAAGAATTAAGTAATAAACAGCCAATAGTAGAAACCGTTCCCGCGCACGTTCGAATACAATAGTAATATCAATGAAAGCATTTGGCAGCATTTTTCGAATTAGTGATGTCTTACTTGGCGAAATCGGTCGACGGTGTAACACGTAAATACCGTATAACATTGTCTATATCCTACTTCCCCTTTAAAGTTTTTTTTATGTATTTAATTATATATTTTATAAAATAACTTTAATAATAATGGTATTTATCAGTAATAGGAGCCCTGGGTTGGTGATTTGTTTTTCGGATATTGTCAGCACGATCGTTGGCGATATTACCCGATAAAATACATTTACTACAAACAGAATGACGGGAAAAGATTTAGTGTGCTTTCTACATGTAGCGGTGTGTTTAGCTTTACGTTCTCTGTAGAGTCGATAAATACCGTAATAATTCCTTTTATTATTTCTAACAGAAACTGAATTCGGTCATAAATCTATTTGGAATTTACATACTAGAGCATTCAAATAACTGCACGTTGAAATTCATGGAGATAGAGCAAGGCATTGACAAATATGCTCTTTTGTATTATTGTAATTAACCCTCATATGTATTCTACTATTCTGCAATGAATTCGAATTATTGGGAACTTTGAGATGAGAAAATTAATTGCAATCTCCTATGTAAATCACTTCATTGGAAAAGAAATAAATTTTGCAATGTATTGGTACAAATTATTCCATTAATGATTATATTACCTTTAATGATATTTTCTCTCCTATTTTTCAATTCCTACTATTAGTTCACTCTCTCCCTATATATATATATATATATATATATATATATCGTTCAAATTTTCAATCGTTAATAAAATACTTTTTATTCATCCATTCAAGTTCAAATACATTTTTTAAAACTTGTAGTGGATGTCCCTCGATGTTAATACAGTTTTTTTTTCAAATATTAATTCATTAATTAAATTTTAAAAAATGAATAAATAGTAACAAACAAAAATAATAGTCCAACAGCATATATAGAAAGGAAAACTATTCGTTATGTCACTGTAGCGCGATGGACTTCTAATCCAATGGTCGTGGGTTTGACTCCTACCTGGGATGGCCTGTTTTCTGATAATGTGATTTCTTTTTTTACTATACTATTTTATTAGAATAATTGAATTTAATTAATGAATAAATAGTAACAATAAAAAAATAGTTCAACACCCTATATAGAAATTAAAATCGAAAATTGCAATAGAAATCGCTTTCTATTTTGTCACTTAATATTGTGATTCTGTCCTATGTATATGCATATTTATATTAATTGTAACCATTTAATAAAAAGTAACTAAAATAAAATTTTTCTTTCTTGACCAAGTAGGAAAAAAAAATTGACTTAAAATTTTTTTTAATATTACTTGTTTTAAGTCTGTTCTAAGTATCAAATAGTCTAAATATTTTATTTCTTTTAGGTGTTTGCACTAAAAAAGCTCGACTGCACGTTAACGCTTTTGTTAATTTGCTTGGTGAATGCAAACACGGTTGGGGACTCTCTCACAAAGGCTTATTATGGCACAGCGGCGAATGGAGACAATACACGAATCTCTTTACCGAGGACGAAGCCACCACAATAGGACTTCTCTTTGATGGTATTAAAGGTACACTAACTTATTACAAAGACGGATGCAACCTCGGAGTGGCATTCACAGATCTCCACCTCGTACAGGATGAGCTCTACCCTGTCGTGTGTTCTAGCGCAGCGAAGACAGAGATGTGTCTAGGAATCAGAAAAAGAGAATATTTCGACCTCCAAGATAGGTGCAGGGGTGTCATCTTAGCTTCACTTCGACAGATAATTGATATAGATGAGTTACCTTTGCCACAAATAATAAAGGAATACCTTGCTGAGGGCCCCTACAACGAGGACTCCACCGAAAGTCCCCAAAATGGAGCGATCAAATGTGAATGTTACTTGCTGTTATCAGACGTACCGCAACATGTTTTATGGTGAAAAGAATCCCTGATTGTGCATGACCTAAGTTATAAAACGGGTAAGATTTAAGTTTTTTTTCAAATGAATACATTTATTCTTCAGTGTTTTCTTTGTAATTTAATATATATTTCTATTTAAAGGTTGCTGATGCATATCCTGATTGTGATTTGAGTCATAAGAAAGCATTCATCAAAACTACCATCAAATCCGTAAGAAATTTTGTTCAATATAATTCTGAATGAAACTTTTTTCCTCCTTCTAATTTTTAAAAAGTATGTCTTCAATTTTAAAAATAATTTTTTTGGAAGCACATTTTCTTGTACATTTGAGCATAACCTTTTCTTTTGTTATAGAGTTTAATTAATATACTTACTTCTCAATATATATATATATATATATATATATATGATTAAACTATTTAGTGTTTTTCTCACCTATCAATTAATATGCATCAGGTTTACATTATGTGCATAATAATGCATAAAATGTATGAAAAACAAATGAATATTTAAATGAGATGTGTATAATTTTAATCTCTTAACAAATCTTTTTGTTTAATGACCTTGGAATCTTTATGGCTATTTTCCCCCTTGTCATAGCATTTTTTAGGTTCCTCAAGAGTTTCAATTTGTTCCATAGTTGCAGTTTGACTGATACAATATCTTGTTTTTCTCACCTTTTTGAAATAAGTATATATATATATATATAAATAGTCCTTTGAAAGATTTCCTCAAATAGGTGGGAATTGTCAACAAACTGCTCATGGGAACATTTTCTCTCCATAACAAGCTGATTAACCCAAATTATGTAGATATTTTTTGGGGATGAAGGAGACTTTAAAAACTTTATTTTAAGTGCCAAAAAGTTTTGCCTGCATTTTACAGCAGAATCTTGCACATCTCTGATAAAAATTGGAAGTCATATAAAAAAATTAAAAGTTTAAATTTTGTAAGCTTCAATGAAAACTCTGTGAGGAACATATAAATTGATGAATAAAATATTATTCAAGAAATTCTATAAACATTCAGCTGATTTAGTCGAGC